AAGCGATGTTTTTTACATTTTAAATCACAAAATGCGGTAAGTTGTGATAGATATTGATATAAAATCCTTCATTCTTCAATATTTCCATATCAATTTCATCAGAAAAATGCTATTGTATTGAATATATGGGGGTTCCGTCTTTAGGGTTAGTTTTCCACGCAATTCCAAACGAACGGAACACTCATACGGGTGGATACCTATGTCAAGTGGGAATACGGTGATACTGTGGAAAGTGTATTGGCGGTTAATGAACTAATAATTTAATGAAGTTAATCGGAATCGTATCCCTAAATTAGTTTATTTTCTTCATTTTTTCGCGTAGATGGCTTCAAAAGGTAAAAACACACGAAAAATACACGAAGAGGAGGGAGAACAATCAGCCAAGGCAGAAGAGGTTAGGAAACCCTCTCAACGGTTTAAATACACAAAAAAAATCTAGAAGAAGCGATTGAGGCTGTGAAATCGGGGAACAGCTCTCTAAATAATGCATCAATTAATTATGGTATCCCCAAAACTACATTGCATTCACGAGTCAACGACTAAGTATCTGGATACTCTCATGGTCGTCAGTCTGTATTGACAGTTGGGGAAATCCACCGAAAAGATATAAATTTCGGGAGGAATTGAACAAAATTGTATATTTTCTGATTAATATCCTCCTCGATATGACTTCGCATCAGGAATTAATCTCTCAACGTCACACTAACCTCCAATGTTCCGTAAATGAGCAGACGATGTTCCACTCTTGGCAAAAGTGTTCCGTCCTTGGTATATTCGATGTGCGTGTACTTATTAATTATTTCCAATTATTTCCCATCAAGTGATAGGTTCTTTCATTTTTTCTCAGAAAATAGACTAAATTTGGAATTAGGCAGTATTTTTCTTAAATTTTTGAAGAGAAAATTTCAATATTTCATGACTGTGTAAACTTCTGAAACGGCTTAAATGTTCCGTAAATGGGCAGTTCACCCTACTTGAAAAACTATTTTTCTTCATTTTTCCAGATTTTGTCGGTGGCCCTATATGAAGATATTATTTTTCTTTCTTTTTTAGTTTTTTGTTCTTTTTTCAATAATTCAAGTTTTATTCATCCGATTTTGATTTATTAAGCTTCAAAATTTTCCATTTTTACATTCTATAAGAATATTAAAGTCGGATTGGTAGAACTTGAATTACTGAAAAAAAAAAAAAACGAAAAATGAATGAAAAAACATCTTTAAATTGGGTCACCAAAAAAATCTGGAAAAATAGAGAAAAATAGTTTTTCAAGTTTCCCAAACAGAAAAAGCCATTATGGATTTCCTCATGAAGGAAAGAAGGTAAAGGTCAACTCCAGACTCTAATTTGACCCTTTCCCTAGTGACCTTCGTGACGTTTGACCCGCCCCCAATGACCCTCATGACGTTTGACTCTCCTGCTAATGACCCTCGTGAGGTTAGACCCTCCCCCTAGTGACCTTCGTGACGTTTGACTCTTCCTCTCTAATGACCCTCATGACGTTTGACCCTCCCCCTAGTGACCCTCGTGACGTTTGACCCTCCCCCTAGTGACCCTCGTGACGTTTGACTCTCCCCCTAGTGACCCTCGTGAAGTTTGACCCTCCCCCTAGTGACCCTCGTGACGTTTGACTCTCCCTCTAATGACCCTTGTGACGTTTGATGCTCCCTCTAGTGACCCTCGTGACGTTTGACTCTTCACCTAGTGACCCTCGTGACGTTTGACGTTCCCTCTAATCACCCTCGTGACGTTTGACTCTTCACCTAGTTACCCTCGTGACGTTTGACGTTCCCTCTAATCACCCTCGTGACGTTTAACCTTCCCCCTAGTGACCTTCTTGACGTTTGACCCTCCCCCTAGTCACCCTCGTGACGGTTGACCCTCCCCCTAGTGACCCTCGTGAGATTTATTTTTTAGATGGGCCATTTTGCTCCCTTTGTTATTTGTCCCCCTGGCCCGTTTTGCCCCCATCCTGTTTTTCAAAATAACACTTGGAATAAGCAATTGAGTCTCTATCAATACATATGGAGATAAGTGAAGTTACCTCCTCTAGGTCCTCCCAATTATGGGAGTTATGTCAACTTACCTCCAATTGCATTGATAGAAAATTGAAACTCGCACATATCTCTTTTTTTATTTTTCATGTAACCCCATAAAATATTATTTTTAGACCAAACCTTTCCGTCAGCACTTGCAGATCAATATTATACTGTGATTGGTGCAATAAAACAAATTTCGAAAAAAATGCAGTTACCTCGTTTTACCACTTCACTACAGATTTGAGATAATGAAAAACGAGTTTAAGTTTCTATCTCGATTATTTTTTAAGTTATCGTGCGAACAAACAATTTTAGCAAAAAAAATTATAAAAACGGGAATAATAATTTTTCAATCCAATTAAATAGGTATCATCATGACAAGTATTCTGAAAAAAAATCGAATCGGTCGAATTGTTCAGAAGATATCGGCAACAAACGATTTTCGAAGAAGCGCTATATTTCAGGAACCGCTCAACCGATCGAACTGAAATTTAGCACAAATTTGAGTCTCAGTAGTACCAATTAGCAGCCAGAGTTTCAGCATCTTTGCCTCAATGATTCTCGAGTTATGGGGACAGTTCTGGACATACGAACACACATGTGCACACACATACCTATATACACACACAGACATTTTTAAAAATCATAATTTATTCACGTTTCAGGACATTTCTAGGCATTTCCACCCAAAATTAAGAAATCGAAAAAAATCACGATTGCAAAACTTCCATTCGGATGCAAAAAATCTATTTTCATTCGATGGAATCTGGCAAATCTTAAAAAATAACTCCCTACCGAAAAGTTGAAAAAAGTATACGTCGGAGGAAAATTGTAGTGTAAGGAGTTTTTTTTCTTCAACCAACTCATCATTAAAAAATTGATCCTATTTCTATGACGAGTTCATTACTCTCTCGCGCTCTACTAAAATCTTCTCGAAAAAACATAAATTATCCTAAAAACTCACAAGAAATATCCGCCGATTTTTCCTTTCCTCGGAAGCAAATACTAATTTTTTATAATGTCAATTTTTTCTATTCTCCACTTATTTCAAGTCGTCCACAATGACGCTCGTACCACAAGCGCAGTTACAATCCTTATCCCAAGTGACCTTGTTCGAATATTATGACTCGGCATGACAAATTTCCAATAATCAAACGATTGATTAATAATTCTCAATCGATCACTCCAATCAACTGCACCAAAGACTAACGATCATATCAACACACGACAGTAACTGCTTCCCTCGTTGTAAATGTCAGAATGTATACATAACTCGGAACTGACGAGGATTAACCCACGCGTGGCTTCTTCGTACGAATGACTACAAGAGCTGGCCCTCATGTCAGAATTCGCTTTTTTATTTTTTTATTAGCTGTCTAAAAATAGCTAAGTATGTTTGCACGATGTCAACGAATCGATTTGGCTCGAAGAAATAGTAGTCAAGAGTGAAGAAATGTCATTAGAGTTGTATTTTAGAAGTAATTCTGTTTTATCGACTGTTTGATGGACCAAAAAAAAAATTAAAATTCTTAATCAAGTCAATTCAATTATTATAATTCTTCTTCTGACTTCTTTCCCATCCGAATCTGTGAGAAAGATGTTTCAATTGGTAGTTATGAATTTTTCTTGATTCATATTGATATGAATTTGATCATTATATAATCCCACGCGTTTCTTTCTTTTCGGCACTCGTAATGAAATATACTATTTTGACACTGCTGCTACGTTCACCTCGTCCTGAAAAGTACTTTTTCGTTTACTTATAAATAAAAAAGGTACAGTTCGGCCACTTGATGGACGTTTTGACTAGAATCATCTGTAAGGGTTCTTTTTGCATAATGTTTTGAGAAATATTTGAATTTTCTAACATCATAGTGTAATGAACAAAACTAAAAAGAATTTCCCTGAAAGATATCCATCAATTCCCATAGACAGCTGTAGTTCTGATAAACTACACGGCCGTGATACATATAAATTTGATGAATTTATTCGGTTTTGCGGTCATGATTCCTCAGATCTTCGAGGTACATTGTTCCTTCGTGCTGCTATTTGAATCCCATCAAATGCAAACTTTAAACTGCGAAAGGGACGCAATTCGCTATCTATTCACCCGATCCGATAAACCCTCAATTTTTTAAATTTGGGTATTGACTAATTAAAACATTGTCGAACTGAGAATCTCATCTGCTGAACCACTGGGAGTGAATGAAATGAAATGAGTGAATTTACGAAATTATTTATCCGATGAAAAATTTTATACAATTGTTTTATTATAATTTCACTTTATAGATTCTATGATAATAGATAAAAATATTCTACGAAACTTTTCTGATTTTTTGGTCATTCCAGACTACGGTAATATTCACTAAATTTTCGATTTCCGTTTCGGCGTTATTTATAATTTTATTCAAATTCCTGAATAAAATTCATGAAAAAAATGAAAAACAAAATGACCGAGCGCAACAATGACAGTCAGGTTACATCTAGATAGACGATAGAACGATAAAAAATGACTTACGATTAGGTAAGTTGACCGGTCAGTTTGCATCACGAGTCCGTAATATTCAAAAATGGTAAAAATGTAATTTTGAGTCAATTATATAGGGCGCAATGGTTCCAAAATGCGCGGATACTGGTAAAAATAGATCGAAATTGATCTCTCAATATCCGATGTCCTTGAATATTGATTCATGTATTGTGTGACATTTTTTCTTGCAGAAATTACTGATATCTTGCCCCTCTTAAATATATCGAGTCATTACTACTGAATGTTAATGAGAATTTCGCGGAATTCACTGCAGAGAGTCTTATTGCAGAGGGTTCCCGCCCCTTAAACTGATTAAAAAATGAATTTTCTATACATTTTGATCATATTCAATAGATTAAGGGGAGACCACGGTGAAATTTGAAAGTCTCTGGGTATTATAGAAACGATTGTAAAAGTTTATAATATGTGTTGTAGATGTGATGTCTCGTAAAGTCTCTCGCGGCATCACTAATAAAAACTGCAAAAATTAATGAACAACACAAAGACCATCTCTATTTATCGAGAACTTCTTTATGAATTCTCCGAAACTCCCCCTCCCTCCATAATCCTCGAATAGCTCTCAAATAAACCCAAATCCATCATCTTTTCTAAGAACTTTTATTTAAAAATACATTTCCTCTCCAACTCTCTCCCCCTTAAGGTTCCAGCCTGAGTCCAGTACCCGCCAGGAACTTCATAAACTTCTCCGCGACATCCCCCTGGCACTGCTTCCTCGCCCTCTGGACAATCCCCTCGTTCCTTTTCTCGAAGGCCACCTCCAGGAGACACTTCCTGCCGCCACCGCCGTCCCCCTCCAGCCTGATGGAATCCCTCGGCTCGAAGCAGTCCACCCCATAACACGAATCCTTCAAGAACCCCAGACAGATTCTCCTCAGGGCAAAAGCGAGGAACCTCCGGTGATACCAGAGCGCCTCGTGTCCGGGGAACGCTTCAATCAACTCTTCATTGAGCTTGCAGTCCTCGATCCAGTAGGACAACCCCATCAAGACCCGATCGTAGTCAACCCCATTTCTTCTCCCCCTGCGGCAGCTGTGAAGGACCTCCAAGACCTCCGCAGAACCTCCATCGTACATCAAGAAGACCTCCTCCGAGCCTTTGGCAGCCTTGACGAAATCCAGAATGATGTCCCTGCGCCTGGCCAATTCCTCAGGAACGACTGCAAGTCTTGACTCAGCAGACTGTCTTTCCAGGAGTAGCAGTCGTTTAAGAAGGAACTGACGGTAGGACAGGCCAGAATGATCCGATACGTGACAGCTGCACCACTTCCCCGCGGCCTCCCACTCGGAAATCAACAGAGAACCTAAACTAGAAGGACAGAGTGCTTCGTAAGTTAATATCATCTGCTCCCGATGACTCCAGGCGTGATAGTTATTGGCGTAACGATCAGCTGATGTTCCTGAGACAGTCATCTCGGTCCTGAGGAGGGACTCCACGTCGACATTCGGGTGTTGCTGCTCGACGAGTGTGAACTTCACCAGCCAGCGGCGGTAGGAGAAGGCCTCAAAGCACTTTGGCTTGTAGTAGAGGACGGCTCTGGTGAAACGAAGCTCCTCCAGGGGGTCCAGACGACCGCTCTTCACGAGCTCCCGACGCATATTCCAGAAGGTCGAGACGTCGGGGTTCAGCAGGAGGGCACCCATCAACCATCTGGAGACGGTCGACGGGTCCTCACGGCGGAGCTCATTGAGGCGGAGGTCTATTAAACGGGTGTAGGCGTACGTGTAAAGCGGCTGGACGCACCAGGAGGCCAGACCCAGTGAGTTCTCGTCGTGGTATACAGGAGAACGGTTCTCAGAGTCTGGGGAGGGGATTATCTCGAAACTTTCGCTGGAAATACGATAGAAACGAGGGCATGATTCTGGTGCTCGTAAATGAGTTTAGCTATTGTTGCACCCAAGACAATAAGCTTTACTTTCGAGGGGCTACTCACTTCCGAAATCGAGGCGCCACTCTGGCATGAAATCATTCCGAAATCACTGAAATCTAGTGATTTCAGCTCTTCGAAATCATTTTCGAAATCAATTTCAAAATCATCTCCGAAATCGTCTGAAATCGATGAAATGACAAGTAATTCGTGATTTTGAAATTGATACACCTACCAACGATGATAATAAAATGCCAAACTCACTGCCATAGTAAAATGATAAAATGGACCGCTTTTCATCGTCATTAGCTCAAGATTGGCGGAGTAGAATCAAATGAATTCGTTATTATTTGCCGACTAATATTGCCAATTTTGATTTTCATAATTTGACACAACCCGATTTGCCCCATCTCTATTATTTATGAACTTTATTTTTCTGAAATCACTGATTTTGAATTAATGAAATCACCGAAATCATTTCTTCCGAAATCACTGAAATCACCCGAAATCGACTCCATTTCCAAATCATGGTGTCACTCAATTATGAAGTGAGTAGCCCCTCTTTTATTTTAAGATTGATGATCTGAAATTGATTTGAGACTTTTGAAGGTCTCAAATTGAAACATTTGAAATTTCTTATTGGCTACAATTCTTTTAATAATAAACAAAAGGACTGCAACTTTCATCCGATTTAGGCTTTTTAAAAAAATTTCCTTTCACTTTAAAGATAGGCACACGTAAGGCAAACGCATAGTGGATATACGCTTTTTAAATTATCAATAGATCATGAGAAAGTTGTTTTTTTTTTCGATTTCCTTTTTTTACTCGCTCTTTCATAACGTCTCAAAGGAGTTGAGATATTTGTATACATATTTTTTCGAATTGAATACCACCTGTGTACCTTTGGAATCTTCAATCCCCAAAAACAACTCTTTTTTGGATTTCATGAAAAATTAAGCAAAAGGAGGAAATAAATAATAAAATAGATTGAGCACAATTTTCATTCGAAAAATACGATTCTTATGGGATTCATTTTCAAATTAACAATTCACCTACTGGAAAATTCCAAAAATAAGCATAAAAATAGAGGGCAATATGAAAAATAAACCAAAGGTAACCCATGCAGAAAATAACGCAAATATTGGGAATTTTAAAGTAGTGTAAGCAACTTAAATTTTGAAAATTAAAATCTGAACTAAATTCTGAACGAAAGTTAGAATATAATATATAGAAACATTCGGGTTGAGTCTGTGCTCCATCGGCTGTCTAGTATTATTGATAATAATTAATCAAAAAGTGCAAAAATAACACAGAGTCTTACGAGAAAGTTAACTTTTCGAGGTTACGAAGAAGATTAAAAATCTAGAGAGACTCTAAAAAAATCGGAGAACACTCAATCAAAATTCTATGTCCAATATGAAAATCATCGTCAGTGTCTAATCTAAATAATAAAAAAAAAACTTGTCTAATAAATAATTTATTTTTCTGCGTTTCCGAAGTGGTATATTCTGTCTAAATACCCTAGTCAAACTAGAAATTATTCTTTAAAAAAAATTGAAGAAAGAATTTGATGGATCAATTTCTTCCACTCATCCAAGTTATAATTCGTGGGAAAAATTATCGATAATGAATGACTCTTCTTTGGGCTTTTTGAATTTATTTTTCCTCATTCAACTCAACTCAACTGGAGTTTATTCATACTACTTTAAGCCTAGCATAATATCATGTTAACGCCTACATTCATTACATATTGGCTATTAGTATGGCATTGGTGAATTTAAATTTCAATCAACATGAAGGAGATGAATGTCTATCAGCTAAAAAAACATAATTTTTTTTCGAGTGTTGTGTTTTTGTATGAACACCGTTAAACATGTTATAAATCTAAATCTGATTCTGCAATTGCTTTGATGTATTTGGAGCTATATGAAAATGAAATAAAAATAAAAATTTTAACAAATTAATTTCATTCAACAAAACATAAACCACGACTGAATAATCGTTCTGTCAGTCTGTCAGTGTACCCCAACTTCATAGAGACCAAATTACCGGTAACCGATCAGTGATGAGCCCCAGTGGACGTTAACCCCCTCCGCAACTGTTTATGAATCACTCCCAAAGGAAATCCCAATTCCCTGAATTAATTCGCGAATAAAATGTTTCGAGTCAATGGAAATTATCCCCGAATGACTGAAAAACATTGAGAGAAGACTTTGGAATGCTCTCGTACATTTTCAAAAAACCCCGCCCTTAATTCCACGAATCAACTCATTTTTTTTTGTTTATAATAAGGATAACAATACTCACAGATTCACGTCCTTTCGGAGCACATTTTCAATGTCCGAGAGGATTTTTTCAGCCGCAGGGAAGACGTCCTCTTGCATTTTTAATTGTTGATTGGGTTTGTCACTTGCACATGTCAAATCAAATGATTTTTTCGACGACTAGAGACGATTTATTGTGAATTTCACCTTTTGTTTGTGTCGTTCTATTTCTTATCGTCTTATCCTCGTTCTCTGCAGCTTCTGTCTCACTCACGTTGCACCGCAGAATGCAGGAAATATGCAGCCGCGGCAACTTCACGTTGATCTTGAATTTATCTGCAATAATCGCCGCCATTTTGTTTGTGCGGGATTTTATTACTTTTTTGAAAATACGGAAATTGGAAATTTTTGAAAATTCGTTCCATGAGTAAATCTCCAATTTTTATCAGGTATTACGAATTTCTGGAATTATCTAATTTTATTTCTCAATAAATTCTTCATCATTTTATTTGATAGTTTTTGTTTTCTTCTTTAGATTTTTTCTTGTGTCAAATTTTTTTATAATTTTTTTTATTTGATTAGGGTTTTCAGAAAATGTTGAAATCAATAATTTTTCATCATGCGGGTTTTATTTTTTAGAAATGATTCCCAATTAAATTAAGTGATTAAGAATTTTTGATTCTATGCAAATTATTGACAAGCTTCAGAAATCAATTGAGTTCAGATTATAAAGTAATTAGTCATATTTTTTTCCGTAATTTTTGATTTTTTTCATTTTCATTTTCCTCTGATTTGATCAAAGTTGACGCATCATTTGAAGATCAGTAATTTTTCATTATATGAATTTTAATGTTTAAAAATTGTTTATAATTTTTTCCTTCTTTTTAAAATAAATTTTTAGCGACTTTCAATTTTTGTATTTTTTTTTACTTTTCCGATTAGTTTATACATTGACATAATTTCATGCTCATTAAATTATTTATAAATTATTTATATTTTTTTCTGAAAAAATAGCATTCTTCTCAACTTTTTTTTGTTTATTTTTATTTTTTGTGGGTTCATTTGAGTTTTTTAATAAATTATTTGTAATTAAATTTGAATAAAGTGATTAATAATTTATAATTGTATGAAAATTATTGGTGAGCTTCACAAATCAATGAAGTTTAAATTATTAATGAAATATTTCTTTTTTTTCGATAATTTTTGCCTTTTTTAAGTCTTTTCTTTTATTGATTTTTTTTCCTTTTCCTCTTCTACTGATTTGATTAAGGTCTTCGCATCATTTGAAAATCAATAATTTTACATTATAGGAATTTTAATGTTTAAAAATTGTTTAAATTTTTTCCTTCGTTTTTAATCAATTTTCGCAATTTTCAGTTTTTTGTAATTTTTTTCTACTTTTGTGATTAGTTCATAAACTTTACATCATTTCATGCTCATTATTAATTATGTGAGGATGAGAATTGATAAATTACTTATATTTTGTTTCTGCAAAAAAATAGGATTCTTTTCAACTTTTTTTGTTAATTTTTATTTTTTGTGGGTTCATTTCATTTTTTAGGAATAATTTGTGAATTTTATTATGGCTCAGGAGCAATAATTGTTAATTATTTGGATTCGAATGTGTGGGTAGAATTTCAAGGTCACGGAGCCGCTCCAAAATGAGTAATAATCCCCTAACCTCACAATTCCACTCAAAAATTGTGACCGCTATGTCCGCTATTCCGTTTAAGTTTGACTACTCACTTTAACCATATACGGTGTTATTATCTCGACGGTTACTTCATTCTCGTTATCGAGAGTGTCCAGCGAATTAATAATAACGGAGACCGAGTGTTTTTGGGGATTGGAAAGATGTCTGATCCTCGACAGCGAACCCTGAAGATTAAAACCGGTGTTGTTAAACGTTTGGCGAAGGAAAAGGTTACGTACGAGAAGGAAGCCGTCCAGCAGAAGGAGAGGATACAAAAGTATAAGGATCAAGGTAATCACTCCACCCTAAATCAACAATTGCGACGACAAAATCCATCAATAATTCAACTTTTCAATTATACGTAAATATGATCAATGAGAACTGAAATTTACAGTTCTCATTGATTTCTCCACTAAATTCTCAATTTTCAATTACGAAATTCCTTGAAATTTCAGTGGGTATTTTCCTCATCCAAATGTCAGCCAATAGAATTGCACTATTCGACTGTTATTTCATATAGTCAACACGGTATTCAGCTGATAATTTTTGATAATTCAACTGGTAATTTTTCATGTTGACTATATTTGTGGAAAACAAAAGATTCCGTGGTCAAGTGAACCGAGTTCACTGGTCCTGGTTGGAACTGTCACATGGATTTTGTCTTATAGTACAATTCTTTTGGCCGACATTTGGATGGAAAAATTCTCTCCCGAATACTACTCGAGCTACAAAATTAATCGAGTAATTCCCTCAAGGTTCCCTGCACACAAACGAAGTCGTCAAGTTTTTCAGTAAAAATCACTCGTGCTTCGCACTCGTGATTTTTTAACCTGAAAAACTTGACTCCTTCGCTTGTTTGCAACGAACCTATTGGGAAATGCTTGATAATTTTAAAGCTCTCGTGGTATTAGTTGCGGTAATTAAAGTCGATAAAAATTTCCAAATTGTGTACCGCAAGTTTCAGACAAAAATTTTTAAGAGTGTGCAACTCATTCTATTGAGATATTTTCTATAGAATTTCCTCTGCTCAAATTTGGTTATAAACAGTATGATAAGTAAATTTAAATATATACCTATATATTACATATTTTTTCGATACATAATTAAAGTCGTTTTAAGGCGTTTTCACCAAATTTTCGCAATTTGAAAAAGAAAAAATTTAAAAAAAAATACATCCTGGATGGAACCCAACATGTATGACGGCTCAAAATTGTCGTTTTCATTATAAGAATTACTGAAAAAAAATTAAAATAATCGACCGTGACGTAATTGGCCAAATTCGAGTTTTTCAACTTTTTTTTCGAAAATTCGTTATTTCAAGAATCTAAAAATTGGAAAAAAATTAAAAAAAAAAACATTCTTATAGGTGGTAAAAAATGGAAAATTTTGCCCCCTAATAAATCGAAATCGAATGAGTAGAACTCGAGTTATTGTAAAAAAACGGAACAATTTGAAAAAAATCATATTTCCGAACTGGGCTGTCAAAAAAATCTGAAAAAATTTGAGAGATAGTTTTTCAAGCCCCCTAATCGTAGAAAAAATCGCCATCAATTTTCAGAAGGGTGAGGGTTAGCCCTTGACTCATTTGGCATGGAATACCTCATATATTTCTGTTACTAAATTAGCAATTCGCTACCAAATGGAATTTCAATGACGATGTATTTTAAATTAAATTCAATGATTCATTGAATTCAATACTACCCCAACGTTAAAATTGTTGACATTTCCCTGATTATTGGTTTCAAAATAAATTTTTTCAACAACAGATGATATAATCTATCTCACATAAAATGCTTCCATTCGGCAAAATGAAAAAAAAATCCGTATTCAGCCGAATAAATCATATATTATAGTTTATAAATTATGGTTTATAAATTATAGTTTAAACCTAACATGTACGAAAAAAATTCATAGAAAACTTAGCGAATTCGCTAGGAAATTCTACTGGAATTCTCTAGAAATTTTATTACAATTCTAGGGAATTCTCGTTAAAATTCTGTTTGTTGTTTGCGCAGATTCTATTAGATATTTGATAGGAAAAATACAATACATTTCGATTTTTCTATTTGAATTTTACTCGAGATTTTTTCTATCAAAATTATTCGACACGGATTTTCTAAATTTTTTCCACTATATTTTGTTTAGTTTTCCATTACAGGATCCGAGTGAAAAAAACTTAGTAAATTCACGTCCAATTCTTATATAAAAAATCCAAGTGAATATTCACAAAGAAAAATCGAAATCTATTGACTTCTTTCTATCATATCTGACATCTCATAGAATCAGCGCAACAAACAAATCGAATTTTAACGAGAATTCCTTAGAATTTTAATATAATTCCAATACAATTTTCCAGCGAATTCACTAAGTTTTTCTATTGAATTTTGTCATACAAAAAAAAAACTGAAAATCTAACAAGCATTTCACAAATGAAAAACCCCATGAATACAATTTGAAACCCTAAAAAAGACAGAAACCAGGCACTTCACCACTCTCACCACTCTTCATGTTCCCACATTATCGTCTACCAAAAATAACCACCCCCTCATTGTCTTCCAGGCAAAGACGGTCATGACATCAGAAAACAAGAAGAAGTCCTCCAGGAATCCTTAATGATGATCCCGGACTGTCAGCGTCGCCTGGTCAAAGCCTACGAAGACCTGAAGAAGATCCTAGAATCCGAGCAAGACCTCAAGGACTCCGAGCCCTACCTCGACGCCGAGAAAGTCCTCGAGGAGGCCGAACAGCAGCTCCCGAAGGACTCCGAGGCCCTCTCAGTCTCCTAATACCCTCTCTAAACCCTACTAACGCCCCTAAATCAAAAAGACCTGAGAACTCAACCAAACAACAAATCTCCAGCTGTAAAATACGAAACCCCCATGTACCCCAGCCATTTTGTACAGCCCCCACCCCCCTTTCGCCCATTCGTCCCTCAGCAGCCGTCCCCCTCGACCTCCGACATCTCCTTCCTGAACTCCTCCTTGAACCAACGAAAAATCGACACAGAATTCTTCGAGAACTTCGCCAACGCCTGCACTTCCTCCAAAAAATGCCCCACCAAAAACCATAAAAAACGTCTGGGAATCTCAGAAACTCGTCAACTGATTTCTTCAGTAAAATCCTTAACAATTTCCTTGGAGGATTCCACAAACATCTTGAGGACCAACAAGAACTCTCCAGATTTCGATTGGAACCTGAAACTCGAAAAATGTAAAGCCCTAAAGTCTCAGATCGAAAATTGTATGAAAAAATTGAAGGAAAATGAGGAGATCTGTGAGTTCAAGAAGATGATTGAGCAGAGGAGGAAGAAGAGGATGAGGATTAAGAGGAGGAATGAAGCTTGGAAGTCCCAGAAAAGTTCGAGAGAAGAACGAAGAAGTAATCTTCACAAAGAAATTGATAATTGGATCAGAAGTAAACAGGAGATGATTGAGAGGGAGAAGCAGGAGGAGAACCTGAAGAAAGATGCTGATCTCGTTTTGTCTGACGTCAGGGGGAAGAGGAGTGATGCTAAGAGGTATCTGAATGTCCTCAGAGAGCTGGGGAACCTGAGGAGAGTGAAGACTGCGAATGCCAGGGCCAGGGGTGAGAATCTGTCGAGTGCAGCTGATGAGTCCTTCGAGAGGATCATCTCGGGGCTGATCGAGCATTGGTCCCAGCTGGATCGAGAGTACTCCATTGAGGAGCAGGGACTCAAGCTCATGCTGCAGAGCGATAACGAGAGGGTGATTGATCGGAGGAAACGGAGCGGATTTGACGAGTGGGAAATTGCCATTTTTGGGAGAAAGCTGGGAAATTCGAGAGCTGGGGGGGATCTGGGGCAGCTGATGACGAGGTTCGCTTGGGATAGGTTCATCGATGGGAGAGGGGGGAGGATACCCTTGGGGTGGGTCATGCCGGAGCCTCCGAGTTCCGGGGCTTGGCAGAAATGTCTTAAGAGTAGGGGAAGGTGAGCTAAAATCAACAGCAAAGCGGTAAAACGGTTTAAAGAGAAAATCGTCGATTGATGAAAATAGCTATCAGGGCTACCTAAAAAACTAAAAAAAAAAATTTGCATGAAAACTTAGCATTTCGTGTTTTTTGGTTTTAAAATACTCCTTGGGAAGGCTGAAGGCTCTCGGACAATGGCCATTTGTAAGAATATATGTTTCTTGCAACAAATTACGTTAAAAGTTGAAAGTTAAAGTTACTACTTGGGGTCTAATTCAATTTTTTTTAATGTTCGTTGGATTCCATAGAATAGAACTACATTTTTTTTCGATTATCTGAATTGGATTATAGAAAAATTTAATTTTTTTGGTTTACTTATTTTTTTCCTTTTGTCATAGTGTATGAAAATTATTATTCTGAGTAGTTGAACATCAAAATAGTATATAAAAAGTGTTTTCAGAAGAAAAATTATACATATACGCTTTTGAAATTGACAAAAATCTTTAGTTTAACGAACCCGAAAAAATACCTAGTTTGATTCTATGGAATCTAACGAACATTTTGAAAAAAAAATTGAATCGATATATCAAAAGTCGCTCGATAGTTATGTTCATCAACCGAAGACTTTCAAATTTCACCTGAGTCCCCCCTCAAGTCGATTTTGACTATTGGCCAATCTTTAATGAATATCTCAGAATCCAAGGGAGATGGCAAAATTTTTGTCATTACCTTTTTTGTAGCCCTCAATTCGCTCCTCAAAAAAGTTAATTACGAAAATTTCGTTATCTCCGCTAGATCCGGAGATATTCCTCGAAAACTCAGCCAAGAACTAAGTTGACTGGAACCGTTTTACCGCTTCTTTTGAGCGAATGATCCGAGTTGGAAGAGTCAGGTCGCATTCTGAAGCATGAAAAAATGTCTTGAGAATGAAAAAAAATGGGAATTCAACTCTCTCCCATTTCTAGATTAGATGGAATGATATTAATGAATCACGCGAAAAAAAATTTTCAATGTCACTATAACTGTCTCTAGTTATTAATTATTGAAGAGAGTCCATTTTAGGGTAAGGGTTGAGCGAATTGTCCCAATTTGATTTTTATATAGTTTAATACCTGGGGAACTTCAAGGGACGAAGAAGTGGAAATTAGTCTCATCAACGAATGGGGAAGTCGCAGATTCGAAACACTGGTTAGGAATTTATTTTAACTGAGATTTTTGAAAGATAAAGACAACTTTAAAGAGAAAACATTTATCTGTCAATATCTCCACTGCTGTCGAAATGAATAGGTTGATGACCAGTGTTTTACAATGATGATTTTTCTCCCTTTTTGATAAGGCTATTTTGAATTGCTCATCTCTTCAATTTCTAGAGATATGATGTGCCATGACGAGACTATTGCACTACGATTTTTATGTTTTCTTTTCAAATTTACGATTGGAAACATTAGTTGGAACTCCTTAAAATGAAAAAATAATAAGTGCGAAGAAAAATTTTGAGGAGAATAAATTCAGTAGCGAAGTGGTCAAACGATTTAAGTCAATTTAGTCTTTAGTTGAGTTTTTTACAAATATTTCCGAATTTAAGGGAGATATGGAAATTTTTATGAGAATCTTTTTTGTAGAGTGAATTGAGTGCTACTAAAAAAGTTATAAGAAAAATTTTGCTATCCCTCTTAGATTTCAAGATATTCATTGAAAACTGGTCAATAGCCAAAATCGACTTAGACCGTTTGATCACTTCGCTACTGAATTCATGGTTAGTATTTTTCATCAGAACTTTTCTTGGTGTTCCAATGGGGTCATTTGCAATCTTTTATCCCTTCAAGTTCTCCCTCTATTAACTTTATTAATTATAGAGAAAGCAGAGAATTGTAGAAAATTGAAATCCTCAAAGCATTTCGCTGCATTTTTACGTCATTATTGTCCTAAAATTAATTAATTACTTCACTTATTTTGTAATAAGCTTTTGTAATAAATTTAACGTTTAAATAAAAAATGGAAAATAGAAATTGACTCAGTGTCTTTGGAATGTTTTTAAAAACGGTTGTATTTATAATTTATGTACAATAATTAGGGAAGTCGTTATCATGATATACTGAGTACGAGGTTTTTCTGTGCTGCGGTGGAGGCTGTCAAGCCCTGGGGCTCTCTGATGGCTATTGGTTGGGAGGATTCAGCTCCTGAGAGGATCATGTGAAGGGTGCCTTGCAGTTCTGCCAGGTTTGTGATCAATTCCTCCTCTTCTTTCAGTTTTTTCTCGAGCTGGGTGAACATCAGACGTGGTTCTGGTCCCAATTCGTCTAAGATCTCTTCGTAAACGTCTAAAAAATAATTTACAGGATTATAAATTAATCAATCGGCAAAAATTAAATCTTTTCATTGAATCAAAACAACAATAATATCCAAAAAACATGTTTTTTACGTCTGAAAAGTTGAAAGAATTTTTTTTTTATATTGACAACAATTTTTACTTTTTATGTATAGTTCGAGAGATGATAATTGTGTCGTGCAATTATTACAGTAAAATAATTCAAGTTTTTTGTCTTTGTCAATTATGATTTTTTCTCTTAAACCAGTAATTTTAGAAAAAACACTCAGAATTAATTTTTCATTGCAAATTTCCTCAGACAAGAAAAGTGCCTCTGCTCCATCATTCAAAAAAATTATCTGAAAAATCTCAATTAAGGTACAATGAAAGCGAAGAACCCCACGAAAGACCCACCATCTAATTATATTCATCTGAAAGAGCACATTTTCTTCTATTTTTCAATTTTTTTTCTCGAATTTTTCACCTCTTCATTAAAAAAATATGATTAATTTAAAATGTACACGGCGCAATGGGTGCGGAATGAAAATCGACGATTTTTACCGGAAGTGAGTTGCCTACAAAAAAAATTAACGAAAGATCCTGAAAAAAAAACCCACCACTGTCAAGACTGGTGTTCGCTCGACATCTCCTGAACAATTCGACCCACTTCACCACGGATATTTTGCGCAAATAATTCCAACAAATAATTACAGCAGAACAATCTCATCCGTCATGGCTGCCTCGTGTCATCGCGCCTGAGTGTGGGGAAGTTTTTCCCCTAGCGTTCTAAAAGTGTCATGGCCGTTGATAGCTGTCAAAACATTGGGCCCACTCGTGAATATTGAGAAAAAGGTTTGTATATTCTTTTCTATTATCATATTTCGCGATAAAAATCAAAAAAGAAATCACATCAAAAAACCTAGTTGTGCTGAACACGAACACACCATCTGCTCACCAACATAACCAATATCAATGATTCGAGAGCCTTCGACAACACACTTTGGCTCGGTTTTAGACTCAGCACGAGCTCGCTTTGTTGCATTATAAGTTTCTAAGTTGCTAATGCGTTTTTCACGGTACTCAAGTTGGGTTTTTTTAATAAATCTTCCACTGAGTCGTACTCGATCCATGTTGAATATTACAGAAATCAGGAATGTTTACAACTGTCACAGAAATTCCCGCGCGTGAAGTCGGTGGGTTAGGTTGGGTTTTGGGTTCGGTTGGTTATGTTAGTAATAACTAGGGATAATCAAGTGCGTCTTTTTATATCAATAATTTCGGAAAAAAGTGCTTATCGTGAATGCATATGTATCGGAATAATTTCAATAATTTTTTTCCAATTTATTGTAATTGTCTAGAAGTTATTGGCATGAATTTAAGAAATAAAAATAAACATGAATTTCAGTGGAGCTGTACTTCCGGAACGAGGCTTTCATTGTACCTTAAGCGAAAATTATCATGCACCAAAAAATTTCCTAAAAATTATTGTTCCACACCGAAAATAAGAAAGAAATCATTAATTCCACCCTAAAAACCCCCACATTTTTTCTGAGATTTAAAACCAAAAATTTGATTATTCATCGAATAAACATTTTTTTTAATCCGTTTTTCCCAAGAATTTTGAAGCTCACCCATTAAAACATTTCCCACGTGCAGCATAACTCTCCCAAATCTCGGATTTCCCACATGTCTTATCAAGAACTTGAGAAAATTAGTGAGGGACTTGCCCTCCCTGCCAGCAAGTGCCTGCCTGAGTCCCTGACGCCTGATGAGCTCCTGAAGAACTGCCACTGTGACATGTGGGGTCTTATTCACGATATAATTCACCATGACACAGTCCAGTGCCTTCGAGTACTGGAACTTTCTCAGACAAGCATCATGCTTGCTCATCACGTCTTTTCGTTCATCAGGAACAATAACATCGACTGTGGAGGAGTGAAGGTTCTGGCCCACCCTCCTGAACGACATTTTCTTCCTCTTGTCTTTGATGTCGCTCTTGACATCGTCCTCCCGTCTTCGTACTGAGATCAGACCGTCCACCATGCCAGCGACAATAGTCTCGTCATCAGCGCTGATTCCAACACTCAGAACGGCGTTGGGATAGTCCAGAGTGTGAACAGCTTTGTAATTTCCAGCGTCGTAAATTTTAACGTGCCTATCCAGTGATCCTGAGACTATCCTGTGTCCGTTTGATGCGATTTTCAGACATGTTATGGTTTTGTGATGATGGGAGATCTTTGCCAGGAGTCTACCACCTGCCAGGGCGTCCCAAACTCTTATTTCGGTTCCACCTAGAATTTAAAACAACAAAAAATAACGATTATTGCCTACTGCAGTTGAAGAAAGTAATGACAACAAAATAATAGGAAACTGAGCAAATCAGCTCAATACAATTTTTGTTTTGAAAAGCAATTTGCAGGATGTACTCCTTTTTTTTAATTATTTCATGAATCTTCCTCCAAAAGTAAACTTTCCAATTTTTTTTTCAGATTTTGAAAATGTTTTCTGACGGTTCAATATCGAGATTCGAATTCAGACCTGCAAAGTTTAAACGATAAAATTATGGTAAAATGTCCGGAAACTTGGGGTCAAATGGGGCTCAAATGAAAGCTCTGATGTTCGACTACAAAAGTAGAAAAGCATTTCGCCGGAGAAAAAAAAAACTAAAGTACTTGGATATCCTTAAAGTAACTCTACCCTTACAGTAAATTCAAAGATTATTGAAAACTGCAAAAAATTGCAGAAAACTCGATTAGATTTAAAATTCTAATTTTTTTCTCAATTTAATTATCGTTTCACATTTTCAAAGAAGAAATGTTTAAAAATCAGGATTTAACCCAGTGTCTTATGTGAAAATCAACATTTCCATTGTAATCAAAGATTAAAGTCTGAATTTTTTTAACACCTCGTAAAAAATAATCCACCGTTTTGCAAACAAGTTTTATTATTTATTTATAAGAGGGAATTCATTGAAAAAATATCAATATTTTGCGAAATTTGCGAGTTTAAGCCTGATGTTAACTAATTGACGACTTCAAAATTTACCAGTAATTATCATTTACGAATATGGATATCCCTGAATTTTAAGAAGAAATAATTTTTACTTCAAGTGTTGTTTTCAAAACATTTCCAAAACACACCTTCATGCGCATTAATTAGGTTTAAAAAATTGTCTCGAGAAAACTAGTATTGAAAACACTTGCACATTTGTAAGGATCTCTTCATTTCCTCTACATTTTATCCATCAAATCCGCTGTACGATGATTCCAGACAAATCATGTTTCAAAAAATTATGAACTAAAAATTGTTTCCACCATACCATGGCCGAGAATTCCTAGTTAGACTAAATAAAAACTATCTTGTTATAATTAACGAGTTTCTTCTCAAATGTTCCATAAAAATTTGAAGTGTATTGTGAATAGTTCTAAGCTACCACAACATCTGTAAATAGTTCACATGGTTTCATGTTTATAACGAGAAATATGTATGCAAATTCAACCGTAATTGTTCAGAAATGCTTAAATAAAAAAAACAATGAACAAAAAAAACCACCTGCAGATATAAAAATTCCCCCAGAGGGTAAAAACACCAGACTCTCTACAGGCGCCTCATGATTGACACTGAAGACACTCTTGCTGGTTCTGGCATCATACATCTGGACAGTTCTATCATACCCTCCAGATAACAAAATATCTGGTGACACAGGGCTAACCGCCCCAGCCCTGATGTAATCCTCATGCTCACTGAACGTCACGATCTGCTTCTCACTGGGGATGTCCCAGAGGGCAGTCGTTTTGTCGTCAGAAAAGGAGGCGATGTGATGTCCATCAGCTGTGAAAAATGTCCTGTGGACTGCGGCGTTGTGCCCCGTGAAGACACGAAGGAGACTCTTTGTGGAGACGTCGAAGAGTTTGACCACTGACTCTTCACCTCCTGCGCAGAGTAATTTTCCATCTGCCCTGAATGAGCCGCCGTAGGCTGCCTCTTTAAATTTACTGAGATTTTTAGTCACTAGTTTTGTGATTGGATTGTATACTTGGACTCTCACGGAGCAAGTCACTGCGAAGTAGTGGGGCTCGATGGGGGAGAAGTCTATGTAGTCGATGGGACCAAATTCTTTTACTAGAACTGGGGCCTGCAATGAAATAAAATATATCATTTTTTATTTATTTTAAGGCCCGCATGGATTATCTTTCCAACGTTATCTCGATTGTTTTTCCATCTTCATAATGTAAAATATATCACAATTTCCATTGGATTTCATAGCACGCAGGAGTCTCTAAAAATTATGATTGTACAATGAAAAAAAGGAGGAAAAAATTGAACATTTTCAAAAAGCGTTATTGATAAAGATTGAGAAATAACTTCGATAGAGAGGAAATAGTGAATGGATAATTTATCGTGGTAACTAACGATCTGACAGCCGTTGACTACTGTGGCAAATGACGACCTAACAGTCATTAAATACATCAAATTAGGGGCGGTGGAACGTGAAAATTGGAGGAATGGAGTAAATTTTTCTGGAATTACAAGGGTCACAAGGGTCAACCGGGATAGACAAACGGGATCATCAGGAGGGCCAAATGGTCTTATTTTCCCTGGTTCCCCATAATTATTTCAAAATATTATAATACTTTTCACTTATTTTGTTTATTAATTAGTATATCAGACTTTGGTGATATTGGCTCTTCATTCATCCAAAATTTTATCTAGATCTAATTCAGTCGGTCATTGAAAAAAAAATAAAGTTTTGATAAACTTGTAGAACAATTATTTTCCGTTCAATTTTTTTGAGATGTGGAACTCCACACTTCAAAAATTTTGAGGTATGGATTGACCAATAAACTCCACTATGGTTCCGCCGCCCCTGCATCAAATTATTAATTTGAAATTTCTTCCCTATTGGCTTTATTTCCCAATATTATTCAAAAACGCTATTTGAGAATGTGCAGCTTTTTTTCAATGTTTTTTTGATTGTACAATGATAATTCTTGGAGACTCCAGAGCTATGTAAAACTGAATAGCAGTTGGAGATCATTTTAGATCATGAAAATAAAAGAAACAACGAATAAACAACAAGATCACCTTGAAAAAATAATCCACCTGGGCCTTAAGGCCCGTCTTCCACATCTGGTTACTTGTGAATTGCCTTTTACCCCCCCACGTTTTGCGGCCAATTGTGAAGCTCCATATCAAAATCTTCCCTGTCGGTAACANTAATAATATTTTTCAGTTGATTTCAGGGAAAATGAGGGTTCTTTCCGTGGGACTCATTCAACTACGAAAGTCTCCTGACATTTTTGTATGATAGTTTTCCCTCAATTAGTCAGGAAACTTTCCATCAGAAAGCATTGGCTAACGGCCCCTCTCCCTGCATAAATTTTTGAAAGATAACGGAAAAACCTCAGACCCTCAAGAACTTCTTCTATCATCTCAGAAATTAAACATAGAGATCGTCAGCCAGTGTTAACAACCGGAAATTCGCTCCCCTCGCCATCAAAATCACTCTCAATTTTCCGTCCTTCCACACGCTTTAATTTAAAAAAACCTTAAAAACAATAATTAAAAGCAAGTGATTTTAACATTTGGAGGTTAGAATCCCCACACGTGGTATCAACACCACCTTCTCCACCTTCAAAAACCCTCTCCCACTTCCCAACCCCTTTTCAAAACCTCAAAAATCTCTCACTTACCGTTAATTTCTTCCAATAAATATTATCCGGTGTTAATTCCGGACCAATTTTCGCAAACACTTTGGGATTCGTCTTCTTAAACCCCGCCGCCATGTTGATACTCACTACCACAGGTTAAACTCACATCTACGACACTGACTCGCAACTATATATCAGCTGTAAACATTGCCGGAGCAGTCTGACACGTCTGACAGAGGAACGAGCCACCCAGGAGTGAACGAACGAAACAGAAAAGACGAATCAATTTTCACGTCTTTTTAATATCAAATTATCTCGGTAAACAGTGAATTCAGGAAAAAATGTAACAAAAACTTTTTTGTAGAAAATTTCCTGTTTTGCAGAAAATATTTTACGAGTTTTTTCGTTAAACCCATTAGTTTTACAGATATTTACGAAATAACAATTCGGCCTTTTTCATAAATTCGTTCAAAGTTGAAGAATTTATTCCCAAAAATTTCTAGGAGAAAAGTTTGAGAAAGCAAGTATTTAGAAAAATATAAATATATGGACTTATATACCCTGGCGATTGAGGGACTACGTTACGTCTACGCAACAGCGTAGATGTTCCGTAGANCTTATATGTTATAATATCTACATTTTCAGATTTATCATGAGCTATGTATGCGCGACTACCTAAAAACTACGGTCGTCATGAAATAATTTATTTTTTCATCTACGACCTTTTGCCTTTAATTTCTGTCCTCAGAAATTGAAACTGATCTAAAAGCAAAAGGTCGTAAAGACACAATTTGGCACCTTTCAATTTCTCTTTCCCTGAACAGTTTGTATGGTTTGTTCGCCAATTATTGGTATGGTTTTGTTACCTCAAAAATTTAGTTTTGTTGAGACTTCTTATATGGCTTCAAAAATTCATTATTTATGGTCCATAAATGGTCGATAAATAATGAATTTTGAAATGAAAAAATAAAAAAATGAAAAATTTGGAAAAATTTGACAGAAATTTTTTTTTTGATAGATAAAGAGATTTGCCTTATGCGAACCTAGGAATGTATAAATGTTTTTAAGCGATGTACAAACTCTTTCGCACTTGAAAAACATTTCGGAATCTAAGGCAGATGACGAAATTTTCGTAATTATATTTGTTGTAGCACCCAATCGGCTTCACAAAAAAGGTAATAACAAAAATTTCGCTATCTCCCTTAGATTCCGAGATATTGATTGAAAACTGCTCAATAGTCAAAATTGAATTATCTCCTTTTACCGCTTCGCTACTGATTTGTACATATGATTATTTGCCTCTCCTACATTTAAATATCCTCTAAATTGAATTTTCCGTTGACGAATATTCTGCTAGTTTCAGCTTCATTTTGGATGGAACGAATCCGAGTGCCAGTCTAATTTTTTAATATATTTCGTAAAAATAGTCACTTTGAGTAGAGAAATAAAAAAATCTCCAATCGAGGTGAGGAAAGGCGGTACCACGCACATTTTCTAATTTTTTGGAAATACTTATTGAAAACCCGAAAAAAAATTGATCTGTGTTGAAACGCAAAATTTTGTCAAAAACTCACAAAACTAAAAAATTAACGTTGTGGGCGTAATCAAATTTGAAAAAAAATGAAGAACAAAATGTCAGAACATTGTGAAAACTCTCAAAATGTTTCATGTGGTGAATTATTTTCAATGACTCGTTGTGAGAGATTTCATAAATTGAAAATTTAAATTGCAGAATGAGAGGAAATTCGGGTTTCATAATAAGAATTCATTCACGAGGAAAATGTAAATAGGTAGTTAATGTTATTTTCCGCACGAACTGGGATGATTGTATAAATTTACCTAAATTTATACAAAATTGTATAAATGGAATTGTATTAACAATTGAATACTTGGATGTACGGATTTTTTTGTGTTTAAAATAAATAAATAAAATTATAAGATTGATAAAGCAGTCGTTTTTTAAACCGGACTTGTGATAAATTTTAAAGCAAAACGCGACGTCTTAATTATATTAATGTGGGAAAAGAATTAAATTCTTGAAAAGATGAAACTCAAAAAATTGAGGAAAAATAAGAAAAGATAAGAATGATATGATATGGAAAGAAATTCCTTTATTTCTGATCGATGAAACGTACAAATCAACGAATAAAAAGTTTGATTCACTCACCGGCGTTGAATGAAAACAACAGCTCCGTTTTCACCTCTCCAATCCATGGTGATTACACCCCTCGAATGCACTTTCACTCCCAAAACAATACACTTCACTCGCACAAAAAAAAATAAACCAAAGAAATTTCACTGAACCATGACAAATTGCCACAACTCGAAACCACCACACCCAACGGAAAAAAAATGGTGCCCCTCAATTTTACTCTCTTCCCCAAGAAAAATGACTCTGGAACCTCTTTGAACACTCCAGCACTCGACACATATTCCAAATACCCCGGATAGAACCACTCAATACTGCACTAGACTCTTCGAATCCCCAACAAACAACCGATTGTGAACAAAAAAAGGCCGCCGGCCGGCATTTTCACTCCCCCCACCTCTGCCTCCGCAATAAGAAATCACAATTCGTCCAATGGACCTCATCACTTCGATAAAAATCATTGTCACACCCCGAAATCACCACTAGACGCATCAACCGAGTCCTTTGTTTCGATTTCATATCCATTTGAACCCGATACCGACTAGTGCATCGTGCGATCCCGCGTCCTCCGCTTATAGTCCAGTCGGTGGGCGTGAAAAATCGTGTTTGTCGTCGACTTTACGACATAAGTGACCGATTTTTATGATTTTCATTTTAAATGCTCAGGAGAGTATATAAATGAAATGTGGCCTAAAGGCAAGGTGTGCTTTTTGTTTATAAACAAAATACCCCTTGAATAGGTATCTATTGATTGAAATATCTCGCAAACTATTGAGAAGTTATCGAGACATATAGCATAAGTTATTTAGAGAATTTAACGACGAATAAAATGGTTTTTTACTTATGTTTCTACGACTAATAGTTTGCGAGATATTAACGATTGTTGGTTGGAGCGCGCTGCTGCGCGCGCGTTGCGTCATGAACAAATGGCTGTAAATCAGCCAAAAATAGATATTTTATTATTTTTATTTTTTTGGTTTGAAATTCAGATAATTCTCATTATCTTAAAATTATTGTGAATTTTTTACAATCATTTTTAACAATTAATTTGCCAAAAACATTGAATTTTGACAAATTTCTATGAAAAAATTTTTTTTGATGATAATACTGATTTTTTTGTTTGCGTATAGTTATGAAAAATGTTGTACGATCGAGAACTATACAACAAAAAATTATATATTTTTTTTTTGTTGAAATAGACCGCGGATTTACTCTCGGTCTCTTGGCTGTAGGAGCGACAGAGACAACGTCATACGAGTTCTTGCGTGGGAAAGAGGCGCACTGTTCACTCATTTAAATAAAATTTGAATTCTCATATCTATATTGTTCTTTTTAAAGAAAAAAAATGCCAAATTAATTGTAGAAGATGGGGGAGGGGGAGTGATAGTCTGTACTAGATTAATTCATTGGAAAAATCGTTTTCAATGATTTTTTCATTTTTTTAAATCAATTTAGAGTGTACCTGGTCAGTGTGGTCCACTTTAGGGGTGGTTTTACAAAGTTTTATGTATAGGAAAAATCCCAAATCAATTATAGAAGATGGAGGAGAAGAGAGTGATAGTTTTTACATAAATAATTCCTTGAAAAACATTGTTTTCAATCATTTTTTCTATTTTTTAAAATTACTTTACAGTAAACATGGCCCGAATCGTCCACTTTGAGGGTGGTTTTTCAGAGTTTTAGGGATAGAAACAATCCCAAATTGATTACAGATCATGGGGGAGGGGGGAGGGATAGTTTCTACAATAGTGATTCATTGAAAAAATTGTTCTTGATCATTTTTTTCATTTTTTAAAATGAATTCAGAGTTTTCATGGCTAGAATCGTCCACTTTGGGGGTGGTTTTTCAGAGTTTTATGGATAGGAAAAATCCCAAATTGATTATAGATCATGGGAGAGGGGGGAGTGATAGTTGTACAAAAGTAATTCGTTGAAAAAATTGTTCTTAATCATTTTTTAATCTTTAAAAATGAATTCAGCGTTTTTATAGTCAGAACTGTCCAGTTTGGGGGTATTTTTTCGAAGTTTTATGTATGGGAAAAAAGCCCAAATTGATTATAGATCATGGGGGAGGGGGTAGAAATAGCCTTCACGAAAGCAATTTGTTGAAAAGATTGCTCTGGATTATTTTTCTATTTTTTTAAATTATTTCAGAGTTTTCAAGGCCAGAATCGTCCACTTTGGGGGTGGTTTTTCAGAGTTTTATGGATCGGAAAAGTCCCAAATTGATTATAGATCATGGGGAAGGGGGTAGGAATAGGCTTTACGAAAGCAATTTCTTGAAAAGAATGCTCTTGATGATTTTTCTATTTTTTTAAATTATTTCAGACTTTTCATGGCCAGACTCGTCCAATTTGGGGGTGGTTTTTCAGAGTTTTATGGATCGGAAAAATCCCAAATTGATTATGGATCATGGGGGAGGGGGGAGTGATAGTTTGTACAAAAGTAATTCGTTGAAAAAATTGTTCTTAATCATTTGTTAATCTTTAAAAATGAATTCAGACTTTTTATGGTCAGAACCGTCCACTTTGGGGGTATTTTTCCGAAGTTTTATGTATGGAAAAAAATCCCAAATTGATTATAGATAATGGGGGAGGGGGTAGGAATAGCCTTTACGAAAGCAATTTCTTGAAAAGATTGCTCTTGATGATTTTTCTAATTTTTTAAATTATTTCAGAGTTTTCATGGCCAGATTCGTCCAGTATGGGGGTGGTTTTTCAGAGTTTTATGGATCGGAAAAATGCCAAATTGATTATAGATAATGGGGGAGGGGGTAGGAACAGCCTTTACGAAAGAAATTTTTTGAAAAGATTGCTCTTGATAATTTTTCCATTTTTTAAAATTATTTCAGAGTTTTCATGGCCAGAAACGTCCACTTTGGGGGTGGTTTTTCAGAGTTTTATGGATCGGGAAAATTCCGAATTGATTATGGATCATGGGGGAGGGGGGAGTGATAGTTTGTACAAAAGTAATTCTTTGAAAAAATTGTTGTTAATCATTTTTTAATCGTTAAAAATGAATTCAGAGTTTTTATGGTCAGAACCGTCCACATTTGGGGTATTTTTCCGAAGTTTTATGTATGGGAAAAAATCCCGAATTGATTATAGATCATGGGGGAGGGGATAGGAATAGCGTTTATGAAAGTAATTTCTTGAAAAGATTGCCCTTGATGATTTTTCTATTTTTTAAAATTATTTCAGAGTTTTCATGGCCATAATCGTCCAGTTTGGGGGTGGTTTTTCAGAGTTTTATGGGTCGGAAAAATCCCAAATTGATTATAGATCATGGGGGAGGGGGTAGGAATAGACTTTACGAAAGCAATTTTTGAAAAGATTGCTCTTGATGATTTTTCTATTTTTTAAAATTATTTCAGAGGTTTCATGGCCAGACTCGTCCACTGGGGGTGGATTTCAGAGTTTTATGGATCGGAAAAATCCCAAATT